CTGTCTGTCTGTCTGTCTGTCTGTCTGTCTGTCTGTCTGTCTGTCTGTCTGTCTGTCTGTCTGTCTGTCTGTCTGTCTGTTTTAGCCTGTGCACATGATACATGTATTATGTTAGGAAGTCTTTATAATGCTTGGCAACGTGTTATTATTGTTTACGGATACATGTATGATAAACAACAAACGTCTATAATAATATTATGATACCCTTAGATTGTCTTCTTGGGCTATTTGTGTCATATTTTGCCGGAGTGAAGCTTCTTGGCTGCTGTAAGATGCTTACATGCACTCGCTTCCAGTTTTGTGTGGTTTATTTGCATTAGTAGTAATGTATGTAGAATGCTTTTGAAGTGCTGCTTCCCGACCAGAGCTGAAGTAGAGTGTACACTTTAAAAAATATACATGTATTAGTGTCATCCAGGGACATTAGGAATAAATCTTTAATGACATGGCATTATTAAAGTTCTTGGGGTCACTTTGCTATTAAAGTACATTACACTGAATTTGTTTCCCCTGTGGTTCTCCACTTTTATGCTTTACTGTAATTGTTTGGTTTTTTTGGGGGGGTTTAATTATTGTTTAGGGCGTTGTGGTGTTGTGGACAGGATCTCAGAAGAAAGTGGGAGTTGGGGGATGGGGGAAAGGTAGGAGATATTGGCGTCTTTACGCCAACAAACGATTCAGCCAAAAGATAACCTCCACCATTCGGTTATTTTGCAGTGTCATCATCACTATTGCTGTTGTTGAAAAAAAATCGCCTTTTGTTTTAGTCTGCTCCTGTCAACATAATATGGATGGTTGGTGGGTGCTCTGGATCGACCTGCTCCGTTTACTTCTTCGTCGTTGTTACTGGTGCCCTAACGCCGAAACTTTTCACTCAAAATGAATCCTCTTTGGGGTTTTTACACGCTCAGAAAGAGAAAAATTGGGGAGGGGGTGTTAACGGAGTGGGGTTGTTTTTTTGGAGGGGTGCTTTGTTTTTTGTTATTGTTGTTTGTGTTGTTGTTGTTGTTGTTGTTGTTGTTATTGTTATTTTATCCCGGGTGTGTGTATTCGGTTAAGCAAGGTCCAAATTAATGATGGATCAATTCTACGTTTACCCATTTATAAGCATTGCAATTGTTACTTTCTCTCAAAGTAACGTTTA